GACGCGGCGTATGGAGCTCATCCCTACGGACCAAGTGAAGAYCCATTTAACTTGAAAATATACTACTGTTAYTATGAACCGGGTGAGTGCTGGTTGATTGACYGACTGATTGATTGATTGATCGATTGATTGATCCCTAATAGGCCCTGTCCAATAGTTTATGAATGTTATTTTTGTGTATCAGGTCAAGAAAGCGAAGAYGACTTAGGTACTGGTAAAGACGTAAAGAGCAAGGTRAGAAAATCTTTTGTAAACWCTAGCTAGAAGTAGGATAAACTTTGGTACTGAGCCAGACGCAGGGTAAACGTGCGYAAGACGTAAGGTAGACGTACGTAAWTACGGAGATGGGCGTAGGATAAACTTACGTATTTGCAAGAAGTAAATAGAATTGTATTTTTCTCTGCAGACACCAACCGGCAAGTCATCATCCGGCCTTGCTGTTGCCATCGGATGCGGCGTTGCAGGTGCAATCGTCGGCACGGCGTCTATTGCTTTTGCAACTAAACGAATCTTGGCCCACAAGGCACGTGTTGGTTATGATGCTGTGGATCCTCAGCCAGATGGTCCCTGAGGGACATTATTACTAATGGGGRACWTTTTCTATAGAGAYACCTAACAATGGTCTTATTGAGGGACCTTGAGGGYAACTCTAAAACACTGGCTACTTCACTGAAGYAACCAGGAAAAACAAACTTTGAGCTGTCGYTATGACAACGTCAGAATCTRGTTTCTATGGAAACCATGACGTCAAGAGTATTTAAATAGAGATTTGTTTAAAGTAAACTGGGTTTGTAGATAGGCAAAGCAAATTAAYGAAAAGTGAATAGACAACTTATAATATAATGTTACAAATAGAGACAGAGCCAGACAGGGCCTTTTGATTACGTCACTAGGAAACGGAAGTACGTCACGATTTCAAAGCTTGACTTGAGATTGAACGCTTAACGCGACGTCAATCAAATACATTGGTTGAATTAATGACCAGAGTTACGCTATGACTTGATGACTAAAAGAATGACAAACTAGGCCAACATTATTGGTTACCTAGTGCCGTTTGCATCACTATTTCTATGGAAACAAATGGTGTGAAGTTGTCATTTTCTCATGTTGAATATTTCGTCAATGTTTCGTGAATACTTCGTCAATTTTTCGTGAATACTTCGTCGATGTTTCGTGAATACTTCGTCGAAGTTTCGTGAATATTCCACTTGAAGTGGATATCCAAACTGACTTCTGTTTGCGGTGAGCGAAATATCCTTTAACCTCAACAAACTGATGACAAATATATAATTCGCCTGTACAGATAGCTGTTTAATTTAACTAAAAGAAAAATAAATGAAAAAAATTATTTATCACAAAACAATCTTTGYGYTCTTKTTTTAATGGTAGGAGAATAAAAYGGRTAAGGAATTGATTCCTTCTACCGTCATATGAAAACTACCTAAGTGAACATCAAGTTTACAGCATGCTTGCATATCAGACCCGATAAAACTCGCGTATGGGTCGGAAACGACGAACAAATAGCAAACCCTAAGCTTTCACTTCGACTGTCATTGCTAAAGTATGTCGCAAAAGATAAATCTACTTATAAGACTCTGCTGACACTGCTGTCTTTCTCCCTGTTCTCGTCAGTGATCTATAAAAGCCTTTACCACCCTGGGTGGGGACTCCTTCTAAAGACTCACCATGGGTGGGTAGATTTGTGTACTGACCCACCCTGTGATGGGACATCTGTCTACTGACCCATGAAACTGGTACCAGTCATCAAGATTTATGCCGTCAAATCAAAAAGTGTTGTCTTAGTAACATTAAAGTAGTTGCTATAGAAACGAATTACTTGCCACGTGACCTCACCAATAGCTACACATCTAGCCAATCATAAGCTGCCATTACAAATACACCCGTTCCTTTTGTGGGAGGAGAGGGTGGGGATTATTGATGTGTTGACGCCCTAACGCAAATAAGCCTTACGATGCTGCTATAGGCGAGAGAGAAATARCCAAGGATATGATTTGTACTGCCTACAGGGAGGTGAGAAAAACAAATATCTTTAAAAAATGTGATATCTTATGACCTGGTTTATTGTACTCGACTTTCGTACTGTTAAATTGAACAAGTGATTCTGTAATGCTTACTATCAATATATCTACTAATATATCACAGGAAAACATCAATGAAAATACTAGAAGACTTKCTAGAAAATAAAAATTGCTGTGTTTTTCAGATTTCATTTATATTATGAAGTCGATCAGTATGGTATATGTTATGACTGAAATCTTTTCGTTACACGAGTGTTGCGTGACACTTCCTATCTTCATGGTCATTCTATTTTCATTGACGATAAATAGGAGATCGGACTTTTTTTTAGAGTAAACACAAATGAGTGGATGAATGGAACTGATGAATGAGGAAAGAGTTAAAACCTTAAATGCACAAAACATAGCGACATTGTGGGGAATGGCATTTTTTTTCTACTACTCAGACGAGTAACCATAGCGTCCACGCAAAAAATCGAAAGCTTGCCCTCTTTTTGCGTTATACAATCGATCTTCTTAACAAAACTATATTTTTTATAAGGGTTTTTATTGATAGTCGTTGATTATATTCTCTTGTTTTGTTGATTTCAAGTGACAATAAGGTTGAAAGTGATGATGATAATGATGATTACAAATGCTACAATAATAGTTACATATAACCTTACAGACTAAAACCACCAGACACCAAATTCATCAACCATAAAAACCTCTTAAAATCAAGAATTCGTCAATAAACCGGTAACCACGTGTTTCATGAGGAATTCAACGAACCGATAAATCGGACCATATTCATTACAGAAACAAACTCAATCTCAAACACGAATTGCTTTCTTGTTTCCCCAGTGAACATGTGAAGGAATTGGTKRAGATCAAGACTAAGGAAATGCATCTTCATGGAATACAATGGCTGGTTTTATGTTCTTTGTATCGAGTCTTGATCGTAACAGGTAATTTAAAGGGGTTTTGTTGAATATAAAAACTGTACGAAAAAAATGTCAAATTGACAACTTGAACCAAACGTAGTGCAACAATCAAATTCAAATTCTTTAAGATAAATCATAATCATTTAAATATATTTCTCTTCGCCTTTAGTACTGAACAATAGTCATAAATTAGCTAAAKGCTTTTATTCCAATTACTACTTTAATGGTCAGAGATTAAGCAATTTTCTCTTTACAAAAAAGGGGATTTGCGATGAGAAAATATCATTGTTTGGGTCAAATGAAAGAAAGTGAATGATTTAAAAAGATATTTTTGTAATTTCGTGCAAAAAGAACTGGGTTCAAAATMAAATACTACGATAGGCAAAATAAACGTTCTTTCTTCACGTTTTCTGAAGTTAAGGTTATCTCAAGCCTTAACGTTTTGCACTGTTGAAAGTACATTGGTTAAATCGATATAAATGAATTGAAATACTTGATTACTATAATGCAACGCTCTTGTTTCTATCGTGTTCAATACTACTGATTATAAGAAAAACATCCAACTTGGTCCGTCGATTTTCATTTGAAATCTTATTACATCGTTTTACAAACGAATTGAACATAAAACTCAAAAGAAAAATAGAGACACAGAAAAGAARAATTTAATACAATAAACGAAGGAAAATGAGTGGAAAGTGTAGTGYCTTCATTTTTGAACCAGTAAAAACAAGATATAAACAAGTTTGAAGGCAAATAAGTACCTATTAAAATGACACAAAGAGTTCTTTCATAAAATTCGAGGCATATCAGTTACAATAATGAGTGACATCCACAAGTAATAGACCAACCCACCAGCTGGTCCAAGTCATTGTTGCCACTTTCAAACCAACAATATTTGGCTTTGACTATTTATGTATTAAACTAGCCAATTATTGTACAAACTGTTTAATATTATACTAATCTTAGACTGGTTCTTTCTCTTATAAGCCGCGCAAGACTGGACACCAGAATTTCTGGCACAGACCCGAAAAGCAAATTGCATTCTGGGTAATATTGAGCGCGACGTCACATTCCTTCACGGGACGGATTCTGGGAACTTTAAGAAATTGGGCAAGGTTGCTGACATGGATGTTTGCGCYCTCTTATGCTGYGAAATGGATAAMTGYKAAGCAGCCTTCATGGCAAACAGGAACTGTTTTGCAGTAGAGTGTCATAGCCAAGAACACTGCGCTACTGCGCCTGCGCACAGAAATAAATATCATCCTTCAGTAGTATTTATTAAAAAGATCAAACAATCACCAAATGATCGATCTAAYGGCAGTTCTGTCAGTGGTACAAATAAGTCTGATAATCGGCCTACGACACTAGCTGTGAAATCTAACAAAGACATGCAACTCTCTGTGCAGTCTGGTGATGATAACAAGTCAGACCTTCAACCTACTGAAGTATCTATCAATTCTAATGACGGCATACGATTTGATGTTCAGTCTGGTAAAGACAGTAAAGATGGAAATAAGAAGGAAGCTGTCATAGTAAACGATGATGTAAAACACACTAAAATACCAGAGACACCAATACCAGGAATAATTGATACATTGGAGATACCGTCGCAGGGTAAAATACAAACAGTTAAAATGGAAGAAAAGAAAACCATACCAACAATGGATGAACACAAGGTGAGAAAATGAAATGCTATTATGACAGGATGTTGATGAAATTCATCATTCAGTCRATCATTAAAAGAATCAATCAATACAAATTCCATCAATCAACCATTCAATCAATCAACCAACCATCATATCAATTGACCAATCAATCAACCATTCAATCAATCAACCAACCGTCATATCAATTGACCAATTAATCAAAGTTCACTCAAACAATCCATCATTCAATCAATCAATCAATCAAGGTTGATGCATCAAAATTGTTACAAAAAAAGTCACTCAAAAGTGTCACTCAAATTTTGACATATTTTTCCAGACATGGAGACAGAAAAAGCTAAAGCAATCAAGAGATAGTCTTGTATCGGCAGCAGTGGTGACATGTTCCATGGCATTCTTGCTTAGCTTTGCAGCAATGGTCGCTGCTAAAATAAGAAAAAGAAAAGAATCTACAGAGAACCCAGAGTAYTCTACAGTATCAAACAGTGAAGAATAGACAACACTTAACACTGATCTGAGCACTATAGGACTTAATGTACAGGACTGTATTGTCCTGTGGACCTTGAACATTTCCAGGAAGTATCTGGAATCTAAAAATTGTTATATAAAGGTTGTCAGTACAAATTATGCACTTTGCACTTATGGGTGTCTATACCATTTTAAATCTATTTCATGATCATTCCTAAAGTTTCCAGGCAAAAAAGAAAAGACTTTTAACTCTTAAAAGCATACTTAAATGGACAAAGTCTATGCAAGGTGCAAGACATAAAATTGTCCAAATCAAGAGACCTTTGGATACCTAAGTCGAATACCTTTGTTGTTATAAGTACTACTCAAACTAACGACTCTGACAGATATACACACATGTGGCAATGGAGGGAAAGAAAACAAATAGAACTCCTTACCTAACCACTAAAACTGTCTATTTTAACTTTCTAATTGGAGAAAAGTTAGTATGAAACAAGAGACAATAAGAGTGTAACCCTCGGAATTAAGAAAATAATTATTTTGTATTTTAAAGCAAAAAAATATTACAAATTGTAACAAAGATAGAAAAATTATTATAAATTGTGCATGAAACACTATGTGCATATATTAATATATTAAATTTTAAATTCAAGTTATGTGAATTTGTTGCAAAGACAAAACTTAGTGTTGCGCTTTCTATTTTGCCATTGTCATGCATTGTGATATCAATTATTAATTGAATTTCCATACAATTCCATTTATATRGAATCCTCTGTTGCAAAATGTTAGTTTAAGAAAGCGCTGTCTATTATCCAGGGTGGAAGACAACGGGGATTCCCTTGTGCAAGAATTAATATGTAATCTAAAAAAGGRTGACCCTAGTACCATTTATTCAGGGATTCCCCCTTGCATTGACAAAGGGGATTCCCCTGCTGCATTAGTTCCTCCATACATTAAATGATGGACTGCCTCTTGTACCATTAGTTCSAGGGGAATCCCCTTCTGTCAAAACATCACCATTACTGTAAGCAATATCTTCCTACAAATTAACCAAATAAACCCTTAATATTATAATATGGGTATTTCTACTGAAACCAGCTTTAACAACTCCTTTAACAATTGTTTTCTGCTAGAATAAGGAAAGCTTAATATGGAATCTTCAAAATTTGCACCCCAATTATCCCAAATCCAATAATATGGTATCTTATTTAAACTCAAAATCTCATCTTACCTTYTGTTCCATTATGGATGGTCTTTCAGATCTTGTTGAGCCATAAAGGTTTTGTGTTYTTACTGCGTATGCTGAACCTGGTCTTGAGAAGTGTACTCTCTCATACTGTGGGATCTGGGCAATTTCTTTGTTGGAAATCTAAAAACATTGTCATAAAGCRCATKATCAARCATGGAAAGCTATTGTTTGCTCTGCTGTAGCTTGATGAATTTAAATAGAGTATGCACCATGCAAATGATTTGCAACCAAACTATGTGAGAAAAGTACTATAATACCTTTTTTACTATGTCTTTTTCAATTAGTTCAGACTTGGGAGTTCTCTTACATCCTGCAGCTACAAATCACATTTGTTAGAATTAAGTAAATGTGAAGAAAAACAAAGYATGACATACATGTATTTACCTGCAAAAAATGGCCAAATGTTTTCAATAGCTGAAGCAAAATCTGATGCGGTTCTGAAGCAAAATAATTACCAAGAAGTCTATACATTAATTTTATTTATTACTCCATTATTAATTCATCAATTCATCCAACTAAATATTCATTCATTCATTTATTTATCAAATTATCCATCCCTCCCTCCATCATATCATTATTCATCTTTCCGTTCATCCATTTGTTCTATACTTTAATCCAAATTATACAATGTACTACTGGATATTTTGTAATTTACAAAACATTACAATGTACATAACATCTATTTATTCATCTATCCATTCATTTAATGTTCATTTCCTGAATGTATTACCTTCCTTTGCTGTCCTTCAAGGTCAAGTCAGGATGATATTCCATAATAATCATAACAACTTTACCATGACCTTGGAATGCACCACAGTGAAGACAGCTCCACTTGGTTCCCTTATGTGACCCATTAACATCCGCACTAACAGAAAATAAAATCCTTTCATTTGGGGTGAATTCTTGGCTTTAAATACTAATCCAGGAGTAAGTGGGAGTGGGGACTGGTTAAAATTGAAAACATTTTTTGAGTATGAATAGCAATGCACACCGTACCCATGATTAAGCAGTAGCTTCACTATGTTGCTATATCCCCAAAACGCTGCAATACCAAGAGGAAGAAACCCTTGTGAAGAATATGTGTTGGGATTGACACCTTGATCAAGAAGTGTTTTTACGTACTGGAAGAGAAAGATGAGTCACAGCTTTTTATCTGGGAAAACTAAACGACAACAACAACGACAAGAACAAAAACAACAGCAACAATAGAGCACATAGGTTATTCTCCTTGGTTGATGTCGTTAAGGTTATATCGTGTGTAGTTTGACAAAGTACTGTAAGTAAGTAAGCTTAGATGAMACTCAAAAAGAGCAACGACTTTTTGTAAACGCGCGCGATAAAACTATGGCAACATCGAGCAAAACAAACTGTCAATAAACGTTTCTCTGGGTAAATTCACTTCATGATGACCAATCAATACATCTAGCAAGTTTTCAGGGAAAAATCAAAAAAACAAATCAGTTGAAAAATGCCAAATAACAAACCTTTTCATCCCCATTCGCACAAGCGCTGGTAAGTTCCTCCACGTCGTCCATTTTGAATATGATTATTAYGGTAATAACCGCTGATTAAAAAGACGAACGGCTCAAAACATTTACATGTGCTTATAAAACCACGTGACTGTCAAGAAAATTATTCCTTGGAATCTTCGCTCAACAGTCCGTTTCCAAAATGTCTTCAACTTTAGATCAACTGAAAACTTTCACTACAGTAGTTGCTGATACTGGTGATATCCAAGGTATTGATCAAATGTTCTAGAATAGCATCAATGTACAAACTTTCGTTTGATCAAACGTTCTTTTCTATAATAAGCTATTGGTAAATACAAACCTACTGATGGAACGACCAATCCTTCTCTTCTACTGGCTGCTTCTAAAATGCCTGAATATGAACACATTCTTGGTGATGCTGTCAAGTTTGGAAAGGAAAATGGAGGGTAATTATATATTATAAAACATATTTTTGATAAGGATGAATTGTTKACCATTATTTACTTAAGTTATAGTTAGCTTTGAGATTATGTTAAGTTMTYACTTTTTTTTYMAWTTYCCCWTTTTWCAGTTCCCAGCACAGTCTTGTAAGTAGTAAAAGCCTTTTCTATGGAAGTGAGAGGTGTTGATTTTGCTGTGATGCAAGCCAGAATATATTTTTCACACCTACAATAATCAGCCATAATGTCTCACTTCACTGAACAGGCTGAGCTATTTTTCAAGATRCCTGGGGAACTGTAAACACTTGCTGCAGATTATGGAATCTTTCCAGTGGAATTATTGATAAAAAACCTGCAAATAATAATTTGGATTCCTTATATTTGTTTATATTCATACAATGTTCATATATTAACAGTCACACGACGAGGAATTGACACCTTTTATATTGACCTAATCTTTAGGACACTTGAGCAACAAGTTACAGCTGCAATGGATAAACTGGTAAGGCTCCCACCCTCCATCCATCCATCTGTTCTTTCTTCCATTTATTCATTTTTCCATTTTTCCACTCACTAAGCATGACATTGCTATWTTTCCTAGTATGTCTCATTTGGTGTTGAGATTCTAAAGATTATCCCTGGAAGAGTTTCAACAGAAGTGGATGCAAGGTAAGATGATGGGAATGAATGAATAAACTATATTCCTCTTAGTTGATTCATTGATAAGTTAACAATAATAATTTATTGGTTGATTAATTAATTGATGTTAAATAAGGGATGAATTTAATTCTCTAGATTGTCTTTTGATGTTGAGGGATCTATTGCTAAAGCAAAGAGATTTATAGAACTCTACGAGAAACAAGGMATCAGTAAAGAAAGAGTGCTAATCAAACTCAGCTCCACCTGGGAGGGGATTCAAGCTGCCAGGTGATATACATTTAATTATACTACTGTTTTATAATTGTAGARTGTGCTTGTTAGGATGATTTACTGGCTTGTTTTGATTTTGCTGTATCACCAAGCTCCCTTAACCCTGAGGATGACTGCAGACAAACAGACATAACGATTTGATGTATGTTTTTTATGGTTGATCTTTTTTTAGAATCCTTGAAAAGGATCATGGTATTCATTGCAATCTGACGTTACTGTTTTCATTTGCCCAGGTTAGTTTATGTCTATAATAATTATTTATTAATAGCATTCCTACATGTAGCAACAAACATGGCAAAAGAACCCCCTCATCGTCTTACTCCATCATATTGATTCCTTGTCTCCATTTCAACAAATCATTCAGATAATGCAAGATAAATGAAGTCTTTGACAATGYTCAATAAATAGTTTATTTATATATTACACTGGATGTATGTCTTATATTAAATCCCAGGCTACTTGCTTGAATAATTTCATTGCGGATGTACAAATAGCGAGGGGTTTACATTTGAACATTTGCATGTAAACTATAATTTACACTTTTTTCCAAGGCTGTTGCTTGTGCTGAAGCAGGAGTGACTCTCATTTCACCATTTGTTGGTCGTATCTTTGATTGGTATGTCAAGAATACAGACCAGAAGTCATTTGAGCCCCATGATGACCCAGGTATTTTCAGTATTTTTACTACTTGTTTGGTGTATAGACTCTTATGTAAAGAAATGACAGTCCACGCAATATATTCATGATTATAYGGTAGAATGATTTATATAAACCAGGGAAACAAAGCTTTAAAGTGCAATTATAGTAAAACAAAATGAGCGTTACACCGATAAGAGTATATTTCATATTCTTAATCTGACACTTGCCACAGTTAAAAGGAACTTCATATAATTTCCTCAAGGGGCAGATTTGATGGGGATACAGGGTGCTGTGACCCCACTTTCAAGTCAAATAATTTCTGAAAAAAATGGAAAAAATAGAAATCTGAGTGTTGATCAAATTGCAGTTCAAAGATTCATTTAGTTTTACAGTTTAACTATTAGGTAGGAAAAGTAGTTTTCTTGTTTCTCCATGATTCTTTCAATGGCATTTAAAACAATATGACATCATATTTAYGTTATGTAACATTATAATGGGAATTTGTATGTAAGGACTTCCCCAATGGAAAATCCTAGATACATCCCTGTTCCCTTAAATATTCATGTATATTTTGCCTTTRATGCTTCAGGAGTAAAGAGTGTTACTGCCATCTATAACTACTACAAAAAGTTTGACTATAAAACAATAGTGATGGGAGCTTCCTTTAGGAATACAGGACAGATAACAGCATTGGCTGGCTGTGATAACTTAACTATAAGGTATTATTACTGTTGTTTTATTGCTACACAACCACCAGCCCACACAAAAAGAACAATGGTTGATGCCAAAGTACAGCACCGTAGCTACGATCAGGCAAGTGAGCCACTTGCCTCGGTAAATTTGTCGAGTTTTCTTTAATTCGTATCCAAAATAAAAAAGTTCAATCAATGGTGTAAGCATTTTGTTTGGCAAAATGCTGGAAATCACGTTTCCGAGTGTCTGAATTTCAAAATGTTTCGGTGAAGCATGTCCGTGAACCCCCTAGATACGACCACTTCCACCGGTGGCATATAGTGCCTCAGTTAACATTTCCCTCTGGCTACTGCGCTGAAGTACTTTAGTTTCCTGCTAATTGCAGTCTCTGGACTGSCCTCATAGTAGTGCAAACGATTGTAAACATTTGAAGAATTAAAATTCTGGTAAATTTCCAGCTTTCTGTAAGTGTTTTGATAAAATCTTGCACTGTTATCAATTTTGTGCTATTTTACAATTATTAAAAAGTCCATAAAATTGACAGAAGCTCTGTCCAAAAATTGCACTCAGCACCTTGATGTGTTATGTTATTGAAGGAAACTGGTTTTATGGATTTATTTATGATGATTATCATGATTGTAAGCCGCGTGGCTGCCAATTGCGCCTTATACAGCGGTCCGTGTGAAATGATCTATCCATGTGAAGCGCCTTTGATCTCAGAGGATATCGGCGCTATATAAATACCACATATTATTATTATATTATTATTACCATCCCTTACCCTGTGGACAGAGTCTACTTTACATMTTTTTCCTTTGGATTGTAGGAAAGTAGTAAAGGAGACTGTTTGCAGGGTAAAATTTCTTGTTCTTCATATGATGATCTGYCCTTTGGTCTTTTTCAGCCCATCACTACTTGAGAAATTACAAAACTCACAAGAAGAACTAAAAAGGGAATTATCGGTTGAACAAGGTACATGTTGTGATAAAAATTGTTATTATTATAATGGTATTTCATGAGTTTGTTTGTCAGTGGAGTACAGTAAAAGAGACTTGACTTATAGCTAGTTGTGTCATTGGGTGTTAAGCCGAGACAGAAGGGAAATGGATGTGCAGATAAATGAATAAGCCGTGTATTGTTTTTTGTTCTGTTTTCAGCTCAAGMTTTGGATATCCCCAAACTTCAATTAGATGAGAAGAAATTTCGTTGGCTACTTAATGAAGATGCYATGGCAACAGAAAAATTGGCTGAAGGAATCCGCAAGTTTGCAGTGGATGCTGTCAAGCTAGAAGACATGATTAAACAACAACTACAGAAAGCTTAAATGACACAAGCTATGATTTGATGGTTTCTTTTGCTGCTTTTTATGTTGTTTTTTTTTTCTCTCAAAAGATATTGCAGTGATTTGAATTGAAACTACACTAATTTTGTAAGTAATAAAAATAAACTAGTGAAAATTTGGAACACTTTTATAATACAGTTGCCTTAACTACAAATCATTGTCAATGAAATGAATCTAATTAGCATAAGTATTGTTTGATAATAAAATCAAAACTTAACCATAGAATGTTCATTTTTGTGTTATATATGATCRGTTTGTATGAAGAATTTTCCCTTTCCACTTCTAGTAAATAAAAGCAAAGACATCTGATCATACCTGAAAATTTAGAGAAATATTTTCCTCAGCACTGAGRTTTATGCTCCATCAAAAGAAAAGTTGATCATTGATCAATGTATTTTTATTTCAGTTCAGTTTTTCTGAAGGAAATACTTGTWTTTGAAGGATTTCATCATCTAGGAGAAACGTGTATCTAGTCAGACAAGGTCAACGTTAGCATAGTGACGTAATGAACACGTCGACACGCCTCCGCTCACACCTTCGGAATCGACCAATCAAAATCGTTCGATTAAATACCTTTGTTTCTTTCATAGGCAAGAAAATTATCGCTTTTAGAGCTCAAAAATGGTTAAAGATAAAATATATGCAAAGAATTACACATTTAATACCATCCAACAAAGAATTTCGCCTTCGTTTCATGTTTTTCTTCGCTTTTTAGCTTCAATATGCTAATTGCAACAGTAGAAAGRTGTCTGATTGGTCAATATTGCCTAACTCACGTGCTTTTTGGGATGTATGTAGTGCGTGACGTGGAAAACGTTCCAAACCATCAAACGTCCATGTAAAGCGTTCGAGTGCGTCAATTTCTACTAGTTCTAAATTACCTCCATGAGATTCAGCTGAAGGCAAGATTAATTCAGTATGAGAACCAAAAATACAACAGGCGAGCAACCCAGTGTTTTGATGAAGTTTGTGAGTGCTGGGCTCGCTGCTTCAATCGCAGAGGCGGTCACTATTCCCATCGACACGGCCAAAGTTCGCCTACAGGTAAACAATCACATAAAAATCAACTGTCTTCTTGACAAAACTGTTTTCTACAGATGACCCCATATGATACTAAATGGTAAAACACCTCACAATTTATATAAAAAGTTTCTCAAATAATACACTATTACGCCATGCGTAAGACACTCGCCATTACAACACTGGAAAACGTCTCGTATTTTGCCAACAACACTCTTCCTCTAATGACCGCACTGTGTACTCTATTAGGCAAACTCCTTCAACGTTTTTTAAAAAAAATTACACTGACTCTCTTAGAGTTTTTTTTTAGTTTCAATTTCAATTTCCTAGAATTGAGTTAGTACATGTAGTAATCGAAAATGATTCAAATGTAATGTGAAATACAGGGCTTTGTTTTGACAGCGTCGTTGTTGTTTGGCTTTCAGTGCAACAGCAAGTTTTGTTTTTACCGCGAAAACGTTATAACGCCAGTTTTTTCGCGAAGCCGGGTGTGCGCAGAAATAGAAAAAACAGCTGAGAAGTATTTCCTACAACACACCAATCTTATAAATTAATACAAACATTTTATTACGGCATTTTCATATTGTCATGCAAATCTTAATTGCACAATATCAGTAGTTTGAGGAATAATTGAATCTCGTCCAGTATTAGATTAAACTTTATATATACATATATATATACATAAAAATMATTCTAGAACCTTTGTTTTGAAATCGATGTAAATATTTCCGTTCTTGGAAAACTGCATGTGCTAATACTTGAACTTTAGACTGCGCGTATTTTTATAGACACGTACATATTGTTTTGACATATTAAAAAGAACGTAGTTTTCAACTTGTCATTTTATGGAAAGCAATATATGTGATATCTTGGTGAGATTTTTATACATTATTTACACCTTGGAAAGTCACCAAAATTCTGAGCTGGTAAATATACACCTAAAAGACAATAACAATTAGTGATGACATAGGAAAATAAATTATTTACTCAGTGAAATATCCCCCAAACAGCCAAAAAGTATCAGGGATTCTAACTATACTTTAGGATTGTCTATGTGTGTTGCAATACAACTCGAATTAATCCATTTATGAATCATGCACGACTTCACGACCATTCATGTTTGTCTGGAATTTCAAGTATTTCCTTGGGGTTCCTGTTTTTGGGCTTCAAATATAAGCTTGAATATAAGAAGGGAAAATTGAGGGGATAGCTTTCCATTGAATCAGTAGAAAGAGCTTGCATGTTCTTAAAGCTAATTCAGACCAACCAGACAAAGTGCCCTAGTGTGCAATTGTTTTGAATGACAGGTAGTCACTAATATGCTTAATCTTAATTATCACAATATAGTATAAACAATATTGCAAAATACTTGAAGTAGGAATAGCGAATATAAATGTTTTTCTTTAGCYTCTTTGATGTGGACAAATAATAGGCCTTTTGCATGAAACGATTACATACTAGAAATCTGCCATGATGGCAAAATACCCATGATGTTTAAAACAAAGAAAGTCAAGCTTGATGAGTTGTGTTCCTTTTATTTTTAAGGTTGTTTACATTCTTTTGCCATCCAGTATGGAGGATTTAGTACCAATGTGACCTTTTCATGCAAAAGGCCAGATTATTAAATAGTGGGTGAATTGCATGGGCAAATTGTCAAAACTGGGCAAATTTTTCTGATTCCATTAATAAGGAGGAGTTTAAATTATTTTTCAATCAGTTGAGCATTTCCCAACAGCTTATCTCAATTGTGATGTAATAATTTTCGCAGATCCAAGGTGAGGGTACAGTCATGTCCAACATTGCATCAGGAATCAAAACTGATAACCCAAATGTGCGATATCGTGGAATGATTGGTACAATGGTTACTATTGCCAAGACAGAGGGAGTTAAAACCATGTATAAAGGTTTAATACCAGGAATTCATCGTCAACTATGCTTTGCTAGTATTAGGATTGGATTATATGATTCAGTTAAGAAGCTTTATGGCGATGAAGACGTAAACAACCCTAAAGTCTTTAAGAAAATTGCAGCAAGCATTACCACTGGTGTAATGGCTGTTTCTGTTGCTCAACCAACGGAAGTTGTAAAGATTAGATTCCAGGCTGATGCAGGAAGATATAGTACTGGTGCTATAGCAACATATGGTGTTATATTCCGCAAGGAAGGTGTGCGTGGTCTGTGGAAAGGTGTATTCCCTAATATGGCAAGATTATGCACAGTTAATGCTTCGGAGTTAGTAGTCTATGATTCAATTAAAGGGCTTTTCTTGCGTCATAAGTGGCTGGCAGATGAGTATCCTTTGCATTTTGTGTCAGCCTTTGGTGCGGGGTTTGCCACAACTTGTATTGCATCACCAGTTGATGTCGTCAAAACCAGATACATGAATTCCCCTCCAAACACATATAAAAGTGGAGTGGATTGTGCTATTCAACTGTTGAAGCATAATGGAATTACTGCCTACTACAAAGGGTGAGTGATATTCATTTACTACTTAAACTATGCTAGACAAGAAACCCATCGAGTACTCAAAAACCATTGAAATGCCTGGAAAACCATTCAAATACCTGGAAACCTTTTGAATGCTGCAAAATCATGAGAATGCTAGAAAACCATTCAAATGCTGGAAACCCTTAAAATGCTAAAAACCATTAAAATTAATAAACTGAATGCTTAAATAATTTCTTTTTGTTTATATTTGTCAACATTGAATGCCGATCATTTGAATGGTGCTGAAAAGCATAATTTTTAACTTGTGAAATAAATGTGAAACAAGAACTCTTCCTAAAATTCAAATATTTTKATTTCTCTACAGATTTACTCCAAACTTCATACGTTTAGGTGCCTGGAACATTGTCATGTTCATGTCATATGAACAGTTACAGAGGCTTTTCTTCAAAGTAAAAAAGATAGCCACAGGGCAAACAGAATAATATAATGCCTTGAATTTTATTGAGTTATTTTAGAAAATTGACCAATATCATTCACTATAAAGGTAGAATTTCCATTCAATCAATTTTGATGGTTCTGATTTTTAATTTAATTTCTATGTAAACCAACAATGTTGGATAGTCATTACATCGTATTAGTTCGAATAATGCATTGCAAGAGCATTTTTATCTAGCTTATTTAGCTGCACAGATATTATATAATTTTCCTTATCGGTATTTAAGGTGTAATATTTAAACTAGGAAAAGTTCATTTGATATCCAGATAATATTGTTATTAAGCAAATTAGCTCATAGCGTCACAGTGTTAACTCAAGAGCTCGAAAGGAAACAGCAKTAGTCATGTTAATACCACAATCTGCATTCAAATGCTACACATCAGCAGTTCATTACATCTATTCTTCTTTATTTTACAAGAAATTGTCAAGTTCAGTACAGTACTCTATATCCTGGTAGTAATGGTAGTAAAAGGAGACGATGCACACACTAATAATTGATAATTTTATAMATTGATCATTATTTTTGAGGGGGGAAATGTAAATATATTTGGAATAAAGGTTGGATGTTTTAAAAATACATGTATTAAAGATAAGTCTTCACTTAATTTGATGTCTCTCATTTTAAAACGGATTGTTCACTGCAACTGTTTGTAGGGACTTACCACACTTGTTGCCATGTTGAGTATGATTCACTTGTAGGTTGCACTGTGATGGTTGAAGTGCTGTCTAATTCGGCCTTTAGTATGCAACTCTGATGCACATTGACAGAGGTATTGCACTGTTTTCATACTCTTTGGAAATGTGTCAATCATTCCCTGTAGAAAGGTATACTAGACTAACCCATGACCAGATATTACCAACAACAAAGAGAATAAATATGTACCTACTGGATGGGATTTACTCAAAATATATATTGAGTTGATAACTTTATCCAAGTGTTTTGGATAACAGGTAGTGTTCTCATGAGGCACTTCTGAAGTCTGTCATTGCCATACAACAATCTTTACCACAAATCTCTATCAAGAACATTGGAATTCAGCCAGTGTACCCCACAAAGCACTTCCTCATTTTTTAAAACATATACATTAAAATTTTCCCAAGAACCCTGGCATTGCAATGTAAATAATAAGAATATTGTATATAAAACTACTTTTATTAATGTAACTTTTTTTCAACACAAACATATTTTACACTCTTTTCTAACTTATAATATTCTATTTCTATTTTTCCCCATTCAATGTTAAATTTTTTTGTATTGATAAGAATCCTAATAATTATTAACAATATATACAACTTTTAGTAACGTTCTAGGGAGTGAAGTTTGCCCAAGTGACTTAAATAACATTTTGAAATCACGGTGAAATGTACAACTTGTTGGACAGTACGGAAAATATGTTACACAGGAAATTTCATTCTATTAAAATGTAACCTTACAACTTTTTAACAGTATAATATGCAAAATAACTTAAAGCTGTTGAGAATAAGTGAGAATAAGTAAGAAAAATAATTTCAATTTATCTGATAATGTTAGTAAGGAAAACACGACTAGTTTATTATTATGAATGGCTATCAAGATTATCTGAATTGATCTAGATAAGGTTGTAAGGTTGTATTTTAAAATTTCAAGAATTTCAGCTTATAATTATTATTACTAAGCTCATTGTTCAAGAGTTAATGATGTTTTGCTAACAAACAGACTCAGATTCTTCATCTTCTTGTGGAAATGCAACATGTACTCGTTGCACATATGTAGCAAATGTCTTACAGAGTGGACAGTGGGTCAGATTAGAGGCACAGCTTTCACAACAGTAAACATGCCCACAAGGACAGAAAGCAGTGTTGACAGTATCATCCATACAAATCTGGCATGTCCAGTCATTGTCTTCAGTGTCCATTGAATAAAAGACTTTTTGAGTTCCTGTAACTGGTTCATTGCAAAGTTGACAGAAAGATTCTCCTTCCGCACAATCAGAACACAATAAGATATGTCCACAAGGACAGAATAATGTGTTTGATTCCTTAACGTGACACTTTGCACATAATGGAAGCCAGTCATGTTTAACAATGTTCTCTGTTGACTTTGAAATCTTTCCATAGTGGTGGTCATAGGACTGCCTTCTTGTAAGCTTTACATCTAGATGGTACAACTCTTTTGCTGGTATTTTTGTGAACCATTTGGCAGGAAGTGCCCAGCATGGCATGGACAATAAGTAATGATCAACTACTGACTTGCGAACYTTRGAYGAATAGAAGAATAATTGATGCTCTAGGACRGCTTTATGCATAGCTTTGGCGCCTTCACTATTAGGTAAGAAGAAGTGGATAAAGTTATAGCGACTCTCTTCAAAGGCTCTTTTCATCACAAGAATAAGTCTRTCTTCTGACAAATTCATCTTGGCAATATTCTCAAATGTAATCCTGAAAAAAATAATTCAAACAAGAGTTAATTAAGAGCTTACATTATTTCTATATTTAATAATGTTTTAGGGTTATAATTTTGATTCAGAACTGAACAAATGGATCAGCAGTAAATAACACCTTTTATATATAGGGAATTGTCTGCACTTTTAAACGTTTTCCTTCAGAAAACTCAAAAATTGATTTAGCTAAATGAATATAACAATAATAAATGTTCTTTGTGTCAGGGTAATCAATTCTTACAAATAAAAAAAATCTTATATTGTTAAATTAGTTACTGTCTTCTGTGACTGTTGTTTGTTAAGATAATAAATTTTATTAGATACCYGGTAAGGCTTGTTAAGTATTAATTGTTTCATGATTTTTTTAAACTACAAAATGTAGCATTGGTATTAGAGAGATGTGGTGAACCAAGTTGGATAGTGTATCCATTGGATACTACCACATGTATCTATATATATTCAACTTACAAAATAACAAACTTAATAAACAAAATAAATAGTTTTAGATCATGAAATGCATATTCATTTCTTGCAGCAAATGWTTGTTATCTATTAAGATATTTTTGAATTGGTAATCAAACTGATTTTATTGACAATTGAAATGAAAAAAGAAATAACCAAAAATGACAGACAAATTCAAATAAAACACTGGTCAATACTTCAAAAACAAAACAAATCTAAGCAAAATATTGATTCTTTTCTATTCTTGTCTGAAAAGTTATTACAATCTGCTAAGTGGTCATTGCTAAAATTATCATTTGCCCCAATTGCAACYGCTCTGATTTAATTACTGGTTAAGAAATAAGGGTGTGTTTAATGTGTATAAACAGAAGGCAAGCRCAACAGCATCTTTTCTACTAATGGCTGAACAATAGGATAAAAGTAAATCATGTTTAAAAGTCAAGTAGATGTTTTGCACCTTTCAATTGTTTATCCTAGTAATAATTATTATCCAAAACTAATATTTCCTGTTGCTTAACCARCACTAAATATAGTATCTTGACAAAAAAAAGAAAGAAAAAAACAACCTGGGAAAAAAATGAATATCTGGAATTTCCATTRARKKRAAAWACMMYWAAAAMAMA